ACCCGAGGAAGAGCGTACACATAACGGGTCAAGCACCAGCAACACCCATTCTCTTGCTGGGTGGGACTATCGCTCAACAAAAGATCGTTCCACTTGGCTGTCTTCTCGGCGACTTATCACGCACAAAAGAATAGTGAATGTGGTGGTATTGATACGCAAATCTAAGAATGTTAGGTATGTCCCCGAAATACTGAGACGTACCGTTGAGCGCCAAAAACACCTGTTGAACCACACACGATGCTGATGATGACGGGGTGGGGGTTGTGTTGGGGTAGGGGGTAGAGTTGTTATGAGAAACATTACATTTTTACTTACTCACTTCACGTGATCTGTATTGTGCAGTGAAATGACAATGGGTAAAGTACTTATTATCATAAAACGTGCATTTAATAGTGATTTTTCAGAGCGTGGGAAACAAATGAACACCACCAGCGTTACACGAGGAAATAAAATGAGGAACTTTTATTAGCACTCCAAAATATGTATCTGAATTATAAGGCCAGGAAAAAAAAATTCTCTGTTTCTCGTTTCATGGAAATTTCAAAACGAGGCAATTTTTTTTGAATACTGAGCTAAAATGGGAGAAATTTGAGTCAAGTGCGAGTACAAGCGCATTTTGAAATGCTTTAGAAGGGAAAAAAAAAACGTCCGAGGCGCATAGTTCAAAATGATGAGCGCGGAAACGAGAAACAGATATTTTTTCTCAGCCTAAGTACTTTTATTTTAGTAGCGTAGATTTTTTTTTCATATTCCGGCCGCCAGTTAGAGAAGCTCTTATCGGTTGTTAATTCAGTGGAAATGATTGCGATTCGGTCTTGCATATGAAGTTGATCAAACCACTGTTGATAGGCGGTGGTCAGTCGACCGTCACGGTTCTTTGAAAATTCGCATACATGTATCACTAACCTTAGTGCACCATAATGTAGTGACAATTAAAATAAAACGATGTATTTTGAAACATATTTAATAATAATCAAATCAAACAAGCGAAATCACGTCTTTATACAAAACACATTAACCGATATTCGTATCGTAATACTTTGAAAGAGAAATTCAAACTGTAAGAGAGTAAATTGTGTAAGACAACTGATATTTGTTGCCAGGCTGAAGAGGACACATTGACCTAAGTCACAGTTTAGAAAATATTTATATATACTCCTGGAAGAGTCGCAGAAGAACGTCGGAGCAACGATAACAATGTTTATTTATAAGTTTACGTAGTATGAATAAACCAGAAGGGGTCTACAAATCAAGAGACGCCTCCGTCGAGCTTCGTGACGTTTGGTGGTTAAGTATACGGGACATGTCGAAAAACTCTCAGGAGAGTAGTCAAATACCTCTATACTGATATATTCCATGCCTCTATTGTATGTTGTGCTTACAATCTGTAGTTACTGTAAAATACTTTATTTTCGCTTGAAATTAATTTTCGCTATTTTCTCTGAAGGAAAGATTCAGTGAAAATAAAATCAAGCGATATTTTACACTCAACTCGTCAAAATCACTGAAAATAAATTTCATACAAAACACCCCAAAAGTTTGTTCAGCGAAAATTAATTCTAGCTAAAATAAAGTATTTCACAGTATATGTCGACCTGACCGTCTATGTTCGACGAGAGACAGTCAAAGTGTGGTAAAAAAATGATCTATTTTAATATGTCATATTTTGGGGAGCTTAAAGAAACATCAATTGAACATATTTTATGGTTTTAGCTTGTTCTGAGAGTGATGTTTTAAAAATTTGAAAAGTGGGAATGCAAATCTAATAAATGTTTACTACAACTATGAACCTACTGCATAAAGGGATAGACGTCACGTATGTACATGGTCCATGCTTGTTTTCACATGATCTTTCCACCATCCCAACATAACCTCAGTACTTTATTTTACTGCCAAAGTCGTCATTGAGACACTGTTGTCTGGATGTAGACAATAGAAGCTTAGTTTTCAGGTAGATTTATTTGTTCAATGACGCACCGTTACCGATCAATTCATTTTCATACCGCTTGTAAGCGTTAAACTAAAGTTGCACAGTTTCCTCGTGCGTGGCGTTTTTTTCTTCTAAACTTGAGTTCCGGCTTTGTCGTAGATGGCGTTATCTACTATTCCCTCGCCATCAGAACTGGACTCGCTACTCGACGAATCTGGCGGCGATTCATCGTGAACTGATGTTCGGTTAATGGGCTTAGTTTCCTCAACATTCCGGGGTTTTTCTATAGCTGATCTTTCCTTGTTAACTTCAACAGGAAACGAATCGGAATTCTGAGGCGCATCACTCGCATGTATTGATAACATTTGTTGCGACTCCAACGGTCTTTGATCCACCTCGTCCGGTGAATTGTATGACGGTATTTGTGTGAGTGTATCGTCATTAGAACTTGGCCGTGCGCGAGATCTCTGTTCAACCACTCGATATGTAATATCAACGTCCGCGGGCGGCTCCTCCGCTATACTCTCCCGCAACCGCCTCTTCTTGTTCTTGTTCATCGACCTGATAAAATGTAAATAATTTCAATTTATCATATTTGAAAGCAATTAGTTTTCAACCATTGTAGTCATGCAAGATTTTCACGTTATTTTACTTTACAGAGTCACTGTGATTTGTTGATTCTGGTATTATGAAGTAATTAACCCCCGCAAACCCCGCTCTGCAAAAACACGCGGGATAACCAGCCAACCAAGTTGCTTTCCGATTGGCTGAAAAGTTAGAGTTGTGTTACCAATCAGGCACAATCATGCAAGTCACTTCGACTTGACTCGATTTTCTTCCACCGAAATCACAAATTTTCAAAGACTGTTGTTATGGTTATTCCAATATTGTGAATCAATAATAGTTCACAGTATAATGAGAACATACTGCCATGGAAACGTCTGAGAAAGTTTGGTACAATGGCGATTGAAGGTTAACTCACAAAAAGTCATAATTTTTCGTATAAATATATAGTTACATACCTGAATGTACCAATAAAAATAATAGCTACGACTATAAGAGTGATACCCAGAAATACAGCACCAACTACGAATCCTTTCAAAAAACCTATAAAGATAGACACACGTAGGGACGTTAACTCGCTATAGTAGTCTGCTTATTCGTATTCGTAGATATGTAGAACACGATTCGTGTTTTATTATTCAGAAGATTCCAAAGGAGAATGAGTTTGCATCCATGGCAACCTAATATATGTATATTCGTCTCACTACGTCGTTTTCGAGATGGGACCCATGCGACGTAACTTTGCGTTAACCATAATTCCATGCGACTTAAGGTTGCACTGCGTACCATCATGTAATTGTGTATAATTCTGTATGAAATGTGTTAGATAAAGAAACCAATTTACCCTTATTGTCCTCGGGTACGTTTTCGTCTCCTTCTGTACCGATTTCTATGTCGATCAGAACAGAAAAAACGAAATATATTATATATACAGATATTTCTGAACTAATGTATGACATGTTTGTGACGTCATATAGTATAATATCGGAGATTTGTCCAGATTTCACCTGGGAGAACATTTGACGGCACACGAAAGCGTGAATGCCATCATACAATGCAATAGTGCCAGTTGACACTCCGTCGAGTTGCATCATGTCGATTGCAATAGATACAAACTCTTTTCATTTCAACAAGTTGCTGGTTGTTGACAGTTTATCAACTAGCAACATTGTATGATACACATATATAATCTTTACAGATTTATGTAATTGGTCCCTGAACATTATGAAAATTGAATTCGAATACAAAATAAAAATGTGAAGCCGAAACAACGACGCGGCAAATCGTTGAGATGTTTGTGTTTGCGATTTGTGCAATGTGATTCATATGATACCAGTAGTTCAACAACTCGAGTACTCTCAAAATTAAAGAGCGGTGGTCGTCGTGCCGCGTCCTGTTCGACTTGGGACTCATAGCGACGCATACAACGTGTGTAAAATACATTATTTACATCGAATGCGTGCATAATACCATAATACAAGTATTTTACATGTGGCAGAAATCGTGATTGGTAATCATAACAATCACGCTCGGGGTCGTGATAGGAGATGGCAAACGCCCTCGGGTAATTGCAAATATGTTCCTGCCGATAGAGGGCGCACAGATAACAATGTAATGAACAACATTTAAGATGTTACCTATATATTCTAAAACAAATCCCCTATCCTCGTCGGCTCGGTCGGATTTAAACGTCACTAACACTTCCGATGAAGTCGATGTTATCGTATCTGGTAGAGTACCCGAACCGTAGTCCACACCAGTAAAACTGCCGAGAAGTGGTGAAGACTCAGCCGGACCGTCTCTCAGCTCAACCCAATCATTCTGATCGAAATGCATCTCAAACATAATGAATGTCATGTTAATCGTTTTCTTGGCACCGACTTTCAAAATCCATTGGCAGTCCGACCCGGCTGGGTAGTCACCCGGGAATCCAGGTGAAACCAGGGTTCCAGAAGTCGTGGCCTGCAGTGTAATGGGGTTCTCTCCACAACTTCCATATTTAGCTGTCCAAATTACAAAAAAACAAACAAACATATAAATAAAACGTATCGAATGAAATGAAATAAAATCTTATTTATCACGGAGTTTATAAAGGGTTAATCTTCAGATTTCCAAATGCGTTTTAGAACAGGTAAATGAAGAAATTGAAATTAGTTCGTCAATCACTACGAGTTAAAATCACTCTTACTTTCATACACACTCAGGTGTTGGTAACCACCGCATATATAACTCGAACCACCACATGTAAAGTCGCATAGTTTATTCGCTCGCTTCCACTGGTAGAGTTCAGTGATGTTGTCACGACAACGACATTCCAGACCACGAACCAGCGATCCGTATGGAAATCCTTCATCTCGGCAAAAGGTGGTACATCTGGCCACAGTCATGTCTTGGCTGATATACTTGCGTGTATTGTCCGACGAAGAACTTTGGTTGTCCGTGTTATCAAAATAACATCCCAGATATCCAGGAACTTGAAAGAGAGGGGAAACCAATTCGTCACTAATCATCGACTCAGAAACTTAAAGCGGGGGAGTCTGCTCACAAGCCTTTGCGTTTTTAGCGTGTGTTGTTATCGTCGCTTGGGACTCAATTCCTGCGCGTGTGCAGGTGACGACCCCCCCCCCCCGCTTTAACACATACTAGAGCGTTATCTATGTCTTATATTCTCGGGATTACTAAAACGTCAATAAACGTCAGAGAACACATCTATTTCTTAAATGTCTAAACATAGTGGTAGATCATTCTGGACAACACACAATTCTAGGTTGATCCTGCAAGTTGGGTTTTATCCTCTCCCCAAGTTGCACAATATTACGTGTGCAGCACAGAGAACCAACGACACGTGTTGTACTTACTATTACACGTAACACTGGCTTCCCTATAAGGAGAGCGGCAGTCACCGCTCGGTATTATTGATCTTTCGCAGTCCATCAGATTGCTTTCAGTCCCTTCACATCCCACGTTGCTAATGTAGAAGCCCATGCTGGTATAATCATCCCACGACTTCCTGGTCGCCTCGTCTAACATTGCTCCCAAGTAACCTATTTAATAGGCGAACACGTAGGACAATATTAATATCGTCCGGACACATTTACATGACCTAGGCAACGATCAGTGTACTGGTACCCCGCCAATTTCAGTGGAGAATTAATGGTTTGAACGAGAATTATTTATTCAAAAATACCATCACACTCTTCCCATCCTATGTTGTCACTGTCCTCGGCAAAACACGGCGGGAGTATACTAGTAGTGTATAAGTGATCAGTGTTTGCAGTTGACTCGAAGTATATATACAACGCATGCGCAGAGTTTTGTACAAACAAGCTATTTTCCGATTGGCAACCCAACCCTAGCAATCAGGCATACCGGTAATCTAGTGGTTCGCTTGCACTCACTAGACGTGTTCATTCTAACGGGAGTGAAACGATTGACGAATGATGCAATACCACTGGAATGTTATGGTATGATATACTCACCCAATTCTCTGCACGTGACGGTAGCATCTTCCATGCCCCATCCTTTATTGCAAATCAAACCCCACTCCCCTCTATAAGATATTTCGACTCGTCCCTCGTAAGGTAAATCGGCTCCAGACAGACGTATCGTACCTATAACAAATATTCCTTCAGTTTCGAATATTACTGTACCCTGTACTAATACCTCGTAGTCAGGGTTACGGTAATGTTATCTTGCCATGGAAGTACGTGTCACGAGTGTTTTACTTACAAGTCGCATTTCGAAGTAGTTTTGGTCACAGTATTTTATAAATATCCAATTTTTGAATATAAATGTTCATTTTTTGATTGCGATATTCACTCTTTTTAGAATACAGAATATATATCTACTTTTTGAAATGAGGGTATACAATATTATCAATAAATGTTATTTAACATTTCGAACACCATAGTTGGGTGTGCAATCTAAGAAACACGTAATATAATGCAGAAATCAGGGAATAACCGTGCTAATCCAAGCCCCCACATGCCAGTGACACTCCTACGCATATGAAGTATTTACTGTGTGCATAACTATAAAATGAAACATGTTTAAGAGGTTCAAACTGCCAAACTATTTTTCTGTGGAATCGGTTATAAGCGTACATGTGGGCCTCGACCCCGACGACCATATACCCCTTTATGAGTTTAGATAACTCAGGAGGGATACAACATGGGTATTATTATTATTGCGATCGATCATGAGTATGCAGTAACACCAAGTTATCAGATTTTAAAGTGTTTGCGTGAAATACCGAACTATGCTCCGTTATCAGTTGCTTAAACACGCATGCGTGGATACCAAGCGCCGGTTCACAAGTTCAGAATGCTTGTTTGTCTTTCGCATTTCATTCAAACAAAGTAAGTTTCAAAACAACCTGAGATAACCAGGCTATAGTATGGGTGGTATCATAGCACGAAAAATGTGTCATCAGTGACCTCGACTGTGTTTTGTGCTGCGATACTAGTATATTGTGTTATACCTCGAGCCGGTTTTTCCCATTTGTCTACAAACAATAACGCAATTCGATCGAAGCTAGTAGAACGTTTGTAACGACGCCGGAATTGTTGTTTTTAATTAATCATATACTCGCCCGCCAGCCTTCAAAGTTATGCGTGGAATCTGAAGGTGTAATCATCTGATGTTTGAGCCTAGTTCGATTAACGAGAGAAAGCAAAGTACGAAGTGGGTTTTATGTGGCCAAAGTCCACGATGACGAGGTTACGTTTGACGAAAATGGGATACCAGAAGCACTACGTCATGGATCAATAATTTGCCCCGCCATTGACTCCTCGTCGGGGAAGAAGCGAGTAAAACAGCTCAACGGATGTTATTTTTAATAATTCAAATATCAACTTCTTTATTATTGTTTTTCTTCTACAAAAAAGTACACTCCATTGCCGCTTTTCCACCCAAATATTCAACTTTTTAATTGTGCGACAATTTGCTTTCATACCTGGAAATTATTCCGTAGTTTCGATGACACGTTGAACAAAAATCGCTACGACACAAATAAACCATGGTGCGTGGTATTTTCATGTACGTACGATAGGGTAGATGGAGGGGGTAGGGTTAGATACCTCTACAGGTCGTGACTACACAGTGCTATATGCTAACATTACAGCATACATCTGCTTTTCAAGCGACAGGGCGTGTCCGTATAACTCTTACCTGTGGGGTTTTGTGAGTGAGTCTCCCAACATAGAAACAGAATAACCCCGGAAATTCTTGTGAAGTTCGCATAGTCCCGACGCCTCAATCTCAGTCTCAGGTTGACAGCTGCTAACATGGTATACGCTGGGTTTATCCTGCTTTGTGTCAGTCACCGTTGTATCGATAATACGGATTGGCTCTTTGCTCGTCGACGAGTTTTTCAGTCATAAATGGATAATTAAATCGGCATTGCACGGAAACTCTTGTTACTATATCCAAATCAACGAACTAGTTTGATCTTACTTATATACTGAACATTTAGGGTTGTTTGGACCATTTCACGAACAGGACTACGGGCACGTTTGATTTGTGTTGATGGCAGTAGAATTCCAGGACGCTGGTGCCACCAACTGACACGTGTTGCTGTGACCGTAGACGTTCTATGAATTCTACTCGCCGAGTTCTCCTAGCCTGAGAACCAAATGAGCTCACGGTGTATTAAAGTCGTTTTTGAGGCGAAACCCTAGCCTTCACGTGGTAACTATTGCCGTTGGTAAGGCGAGTGGTCCGGAAGCGATTCGATCACAGTCTCTCCAGCGTTTGCGTATAACGGCGACTTCGACGTTATTGTTATTCCGACTATCGGACGTAATAAATAACAAGGTTGTTATATCCACACTATGTATAGCACAGTTCAGATTCTGGTTCGCAATTTATGACTCCCGGGCCGTTTTATACTGAAGTAATCTGCCCCGAGGTTGAACGTGGTGCTGTGGTTCCGTCGCTTGACATCCCTCTTTTGTTAAATATTAACCGAATGTAAGCAAACAGCTCCACTGTACCCACTAACTGGACGTGACCCACTGCAATAAAATTATTATTGAATAACGTGCGTGGATTTACATATGCTCACCTTAGACGTTGATTTACTGGATACATCAGAGTTCATAACTTTGTGCCTAGTCGGGCGATTTATTTCTTTTTAAAATTTAAATTAAATAAAAATATCGCGAAATTGAGCGGGTGTTAACGCAAAAACCGCTGTAGCCGCGAAATCACCCCAAATTTCGCAAAACTACTTTTTACAAGTTTTGTATTATTATAATTTAACTGAAAAAAGGTGACCACTGCTGGGCAAATCTAGCTCGATTGAGGTCATACTTTTTAAATAATTATTTGTCTTGCCGGTTGTTCCATTGATCAGTCGATATCATCATATCTTGATAGGTATCATTGTTACCAGGGTTATACACTTCCCTCCACCTATACGGATTCTGCTTCTTCGAAAACCCGACATAGAAATGTGAAAATTGCTTCGATAAGCCGCAAAATAAGGTTTGTTAGTGTCTCCGATGAGGACTTTATTTTCAGAATTCATTATTAACCATACATTGCTAAAAATGCCAGTACACTAAAATTATTGTTCAAGTCTTAAAATTCCAATTTTTGTCGAGTGGAAAATCCACCCATAAACAAAATAACCAATGACACCAAAGACCCATACTATGTGATATGATATACATTTTGGCATACGTTGGCGACACACTCCTTTCAATGTTTTCCATTGAATAACCCTCAGATCATAACAGGTCGTTGACAAGGGCGCCCTCATACACGAATTTAAGTGCTTCATATTTTACCGTAACCACAAAATTTGATAGTGTGATACTAGTAAATCACCAAGAAATGGTCCACCTTCTATGTCGAGCTTTTATGTCGAAATTTTATTTACAAATGAGAACAGAGAATAGGACGCGTGAAAAGGTACACTTCTCTGGTCTCGAACCCAATATAAATCTGACGAAATCAAGTCATCAGGCATTAATTTGACGAATATAATAAAAACTAGAGACCCAATGAAAACAAATCCATTGGGTACACCGGACGCCATGCCCCAATAAATTAAAAAAAAAAAACTCATTGACTAGGATTGCTCAGAATACCAGGGAAGATGAATAACGGACCATTCAACGAGACCGTGACGCATGAAAGGTATGCGCAGTACTTATATCATTAACAATTCAATTATCTTCGCTTGTCATCCGAAAAAAACGATGTTTCTTCAAAAACGAACTTAATTTAAACTTTGAAAATAGCATATAAACAACAAAAATCAGAAATAATAAATGAAGTTCTCCGAATTGTGTCACGTTGTACACTGAATCAGTATAAGCACGCACGATGGCGGGAAAAATCAGGGGTCATCAACCCATTTTTAGAGAAAATGTTACTATATATACTGGTTACCATATATAAAGCCATGGTGACCACTAAGACATATTTTGGAACCTTTTCATCATTGTTCATATGGTGAAGATATTTCTTCATAACTACACATAATCGTGACTGGAATAAATAATGCTTTATAATCACTGTGCTCTACGGAAATTGTCTTTGACACATTTTGTTCACAATATATTTGTTTCACTCTGCAACGGTAAATTGTTCTCAGTTGAATAAAGCTCCGGTATACAAATTTAAACATTACATTACAAATTTCTCGTGGTCTTAGACTTGAAGAGAGTAGTAGATTATTAGAGAAGACATCATATTCTCCATTTCGGTACATAAACTTTCTTGTTGACCACGGCCACACCTCGAATCATAGCGCCACGTACCCTACACTATATATATGTAACGTTTCACCTCTCCCCCAATCGCTACCTGTATGTACATGCGCACTGTGCTACACATCTTCGTTACTTTCATACAAAATGTTGTCAACAAACCCTTCTGTCTTGTTGTTATCGTCCCTGTTGCGTGTTGGAACCAGTTCATTGCTACTTGACTGCCCCACTCTGACAATCTCGTCATCTTGGTTGCCATGGTTACTGCAGATTTCATCACCTCTTTCGTACACAATGTTGTCAGTAAACCCTTCTGTATTATTCCCATCCTCCCCGTCGCGTGTTGACTGATCCATCACAATATTCTCATCATCTTGACTACCATGGTTACTGTCGATTTCTGCATAAATATCTTCAGTACCATCAATCTCATTATCTTCCGTCTTTGAATTTATGACGTCGCAGTCAACAGACTGAGTGACGTCAGGAGCAGTCACAGTATTACTAATATGGGTATCACTTACTTTCACCGTTGCTAACGGCAACCTGGATCCGAACTCCAGACTTGTGTTACTTTCACAAGCAGGATTTTCAACGCCTGTACGGTGCCCTGTGCCATGCATCGATTCACCGGTCCGATAAATCCCCACGTTTGCATCAATGCCGTTACCATGGTTATTAGAGATTTCGGTATACATCTCCCCCTCGTCCACAGAGGAGTAATACGCTGCTTCTTGATGGCGCCCTTTTGGATCTGGTTCGATTTGCTTCATCTCAGTTGCTGCGTCATAACTCAAGTTTTCAATCTCAGTCACCACACTGTCACGACGTCCGTGTTTGGCAGAATTTAACCTAGAACACACACATATATTAATATCTATCAACACGATAGCGGTAGAAATCTTGGTGTGATTTCAGGGTTTTAGTTTGCATTTTCCATTTCCATTTTTCTAAAATCTATCTAGCACTAGTTATTTCACAATCATATCAAGGCATTTGCCGTCGTCATGCCAACAAGGCCATCAAGTTCGCTACGGAATTACATTTACTCATTAGACACAACTGGCCGTCAAGATCTCGTTGAAAGCGAGAGTGCCACGAGACTTGTTTTTTGTCTCTCAAAAAGTCTTCCATTCTCTTCCGCCATCGCGTCTACTCTTCCACTGATCTACGTAACCATGGTGACCATGACGGGAGAGAATATAACATTATTTGAGGTGCAATACAACTCTCGTGGCTTTCGATATCAACGAGATCTCGACGGCCATTTGTGCTAAGGTACAATTTTAATCTGTTGGACTGAAATCATTTATGATTAAGTTACTCGAGCTATTTTTTTATTCTTGGCAAAATTCACGAATTGTTGAACACAATAACAACAAAATATATACATTGAAAAGATTTGAAAAAAATTGAACTAGTGTATGAATGTTCATAGTTAGTCGGACATAATGTATACTTAACGAAATACTGGTAACAGGTAACCAACATGCATATTATTTATTCAAAATGTTAGGAATTCTATTATGGTATTGTGTCACGTGTTAATAATATGAGGATCCCTAAGCGCAAATATAAAGTTATACATACCGTCTTTTGGCAAATAACACCATGATAGCAGCTGTGACTGCCACGGATACAACGACGATGGCAATTATTCCAGCTACGATAGCAACTGTAGATGAAATTATTTATGAAATATATGTAATATCAGGATGTAACTGCGTAGAATGGTTATATTTAGAATTTATTGTTCTTATTCGTCGCTATTGTGGTTTTATGCAATTTCGATTTCATGTAATTATAACATGGGCTCACCATTTGCCGAATCCGTTCTTTGTTTGCCTTGACCCATGTCCCACGATGGCGTGGTTTTAAAATACTGAGTCGTAACTTCGTTTCTCACAGTCGCAGTATCTGTGAATTACAAACAAATGTGTACAGGATGAGTATCAAATCAGGTTAGATCGAATCAAGTTGCATCGCATTCCATCTCAACACGCTACATATTGTATTATGTCCCATCATATTACATCACTTGGCTACATTACATTACATTACATTACATTACACACCTGTTACAGTTTTAATTTTCTCGGTAACCAAGTTATTGTAGTGAATGAATGTACTCTTGTCAGTATGAGTTGTAGTTGCGGGAAAGCGGTTGTTTCCACAATCATTGCAAACCTTCTCGTCACATCGAACACCCTGCCAACCTTCGTTACACAGACACGCGTAGAAGTTTTCAGATCTCACGACCTGGCACTCTCCATTCTGACAAGGATTACTACTGCAAGCATGATCATCTAAACCGACCTCACAGTGTTCTCCATTATACATGGAAGGGCACACACAGCGGTAGGAACCGCGACTATCTTCGCAGGTACCGCCATTTTGACAAATATCTTGCGTTCGACATTCGTCTATGTTTGTTTCACATTCTTCCCCAGTCCATCCTGTTTGGCACGTACAGGTGTACGACATATGTCCGTCTACACAGATCCCGCCGTTGTGACAGGAATCAAGTTCACAGTCATCGATGCTTACGTGACAATCTCGACCTCTCCAACCATCTTGACAAATACACACATAATCGAAACTGTCCGTGGCAGGGTGGATACAGATTGCCCCGTTAAAACATGCATCCTGACGTGCACAATAATCCGGTGTCGGTACAATGGTTTCTGAAAAAAGAAAAAAAATGTAGATTATTGATATTAAATAATGCGTTCGTAAAAGAAATAACGATTTGAATTCACAGTCAATGCACTGTGTATTTCAACATACACTATCGAATAAAATAAGATTATTAAAAGTTTCAATATTTTCACTTTACTAGTACGTAAAAATTCACTATACGATCAAACCAATATTTTGTGTGTGCCATATAAGCACTGTTTAAGTTTTGCAAGAACTCAGAATCAAGCAGCTCATAAACCCAAAAATACACCAATCGACTACAAAATTTTTTTGAATTCCGCTATATTTTAAATCTACTTTTAGCCTAAATAATGTGATCGATATACAATTTTATACGGCGTAATATAATCCTTTATAACCATTTTAACACGACTAGTTACCAACTAAGATGAACAAAGTGGCAAAATTGATGACTTACTCTGCCGTAAATACCACATGGCACTGAAACTCGCCGGTAAACTGTATATCATTGAGATAACAAGATATTTCAGTTCATGTCTTAATAATTTATTGAATATTATACTTGTGCGCATAAAATGATGCATATTTTAAACTTACGACAGTTCTCGTTAGGATTTCCAATGTCACACAATTCAATCGTGTGCTCTACGCCAGACGAGAAGCAAAACACGGCATCATACACTGACGGATTTGGATTACGGCAATGGTTGTGGTCACCAAGTCCAGAATTTGGGAAATACGTGGGATTGAATGGATAACTGGCGAGGGAATCATTCATCCAATTGAGACAAGTATTTCCACTGACTGTGACTGACACCGTTCCTCTATAGTCCTCTCCATTCGCATTACGGTAACATTCATCGTAATCTTCACATATTGCTAAATGAATGAATGAATGAATGAAGAAAAGAAAATGGTAAAACTGTTCACAATGTATACTTAACATTATTACAGTATTCAATATTAATTTTCCGATATACTCCAATCTTTAATCACAAATACCCCAGAACTTGAAATAAATGATTTGAAATCACAGTTACACGTGACGAACAAAATGCTAGTTATAGTAAATTACGTTGTGTAATATTTGAACTATTGCGTTCCTATGATTACACAAATAATATTACCAACAAAATATCCTCATTAGTTTGAATATATCCAGTTGACTAAATGACCTGACAGTTTGCTTTACAAATATTCTGTGATTGTATAATAATAAATTAATAATGACTGTAAGTTATGTACTACTGGAATTCCAAACGAGTAGGTTGGGGGGGGGGCTGCCAAATGGCTAAATACAATGAAACCTCTCTAAACTGAATACCAAAGGCACTGAAAATATTGTTCGGTTTACAGAGGCGTTCAGGATATAGAGCTTCTTTATATAAGCATGACTGGGAAGGGACACTGGTTTACACACACATATAATCGCGGCTGTATACTGTACATATACCACCACGGACGAAAAATTCAACTCTAGTAAACAAATACATCGTGAATTGACCGCACGCAATAGCAACACATTCCATTGAAAGTGGACAATAACATTTAGCGGCACTAACTTCAATATATAAGAATACGGTTCTTTGTGTGGAGCTTTCATAATGCAACACAGTACATGGGAACGAGTAGACAACTATCTTTTACATTGAAACGAAAAGTTGTTTGACAACCCCATTCAGCCCAGTAATCTTCTGTATACACATTGTATTTCAGGTATATATACCTATCATATTACATGGACGAACGTCATTACTATATGACTATTCCCAAACGCAGTATTTGTGTTAGAGTGTCCTAAACGATATTACAAACCTGTTTGTAAGATAAATCCAGTGACAAGACATATTATACACCTAAATAACACGTAAGTGTCGTCCATATTTTGGTCTTATATGCTCTCACACGTGAAGACTGATTACATATGTTCTCAGGTCATTTAGCTTGTACGTCACTACGTTCATATCCTACCAGTGCTTCACTATCACGGTGAGTTCCTGCTGAGAAGATTTCCTACTCGAGCTCTGCTTTCACGCTGAATTCTCAAATAAAGCTTCCCAACGTAGTCTCCTATTTGGACTCTGCTTTCATGTCGACTTTTCAAATAAAGCTTCCTTATATAGTCTTTAGTCGAAGCCACATTATTTGTATAGCAGTAGAAAGGTTAACTTTGAAAGGCGTGACCATTGTGTCAATGTGTGTCATAGAAAGCATTGAAACATCAGATGACCTTTGATATGCAGCGTCCGCGTCCTCGGGTGGTGAGCAACTCACAATATGGTTGTTTTTTTAATGTCTAGTATACAGGTACTACTATACTTCACAACTGTCTTAAGTTGACATACTTTAGATTATAATTACGTTATGATGTAATATCAGGGACCTGTACAACTTCCTGGTAATATGTACTTTATATATACAGGTGCACTTCAAAGTAGTTCTCGTTGCTCATGAAAACTCTCTCCTCTCCCGAAAGCAAAGAAATACCTCAAAACATATCTCGAATATGACACGAGATGTTGTGTTGTAACACATACTATCAGCATTTAGTGATAGACCGAGACTGGACGTTATGTTAACGGCTACCGACAGCAATTCACGATGTATCCTTCAACGAGGCGAAGAGAAAGCAAAGAATGCAGTCTGAGTGATATTCTGCTACCGAGCTGATATTAATTTGCACAAATATCGAACGCTATGTTGTCTGTTGTCTAATATGTTTATTTCAAGACAAGAACCAAAACGTTATCATCATCAGCAAACGTTTTTTTTTTTTTTTTTACAAACGACAAGTAACTATTAAAAGCATCATGGTGAGTACTCCTTTTGACCGTGTGTGTTTTACCTAACCACACACTGAGAAAGCGAACATCATAAAGTTATGTTACAATTTACCACATTTTATTCTTATAATTTTCCATCTTTTTAAAAAATATTTCGTTCGCTTTTCTGGAAATCTCGCCGAGGCACATGGTTATGACGCCGCGAGACTGTAGGTCGTGTCTTATAATGACTAAAACAACAAAACATAAATGACATAATTGAATGTTCATATATATTGAGATTATTTGTATTCTCAACTCGCAATACACTTTTTTACCAAGACTTTTTCTCTAGCGACGAAACTCTGAAATAACATACTAGTAGAAGATCACTACACATGCGTATCAGTGAACTTTGAATTGTTACCTAACAAACACTATTGTGTTTAGTTTATGATACACCATCGTCCGGTTTCGTCTCAAGAATTGAGCGTTGAACAACAATATTAATAGATATACGTTTTTGTCCATATAGA